CCCCCCCCCCCCCCGCGGCAGCTCCCCACCCCAGCTCACCTCTGCTCCACCTCCTCCCTGAGCACGCCACCCACGCTCTAATTCTCCTCCCCTCCCAGGCTTGCGGCGCCAAACAGCTGATTGGTGCTGCAAGCCTGGGAGGCGGGAGAAGTGGAGCGGCGACCAGGCACTCGGGGAGGGAGCGTGGGAATGCTGTAAAAAAAAATTGGGGGCACTGCTTTTTGGCGCCCCCAAATCTTGGAGCCCTAGGCAACTGCCTAGTTTGCCTAAATGGTCGCACCGGCCCTGGCCCTGGGGGACGGAGCAGCGGAGATGCCGCCAGCCACCGGCTCAGGCTGGGAATGACAAAGGCCCAGCATGTGACCCATCCTCGAGGCACCCGCCCCCCGCCGCCCCACCTGGGGTCTGGCTCTTCCTGAAACTGGGGCAGGGCTTGTCTAGCTGGTCCTGTAGCAGCGCCTCACTGGAGTGATTGTGATCATCCAGCACCTTCTGACTCCAGCCACCGCCAGCATCCTCCCTCCTGCAGCCCCTGCCTCACTGAGCTCCAGGGGATGAGGCCCTTGGGCATGAGGCAGCTGCCTGCTGTGTATCATGCTCCCTAATCTGCCTGCAGCCAAGCCCTGCTCCCCTCCTGGCCTCCTCCAAGCCACCAGCAACCTTAACAGCTCTTTGTCCCCACCCCCCTCGTTCCAGACACCACCACAAACAGGGCTGGGAGCCTGGAGAAAAAGCCATTCAGTCTTAGGCTAACGATTCCTCGTCCCTGGGCAGCCCTTCCCATGGCTGATCCCCGCCATGCAGGACTCCGGTCTTGTTTGCTAGGCTTCAACGGCCAGACGCTGGGAAGAGATGGCCTAGCGGGGCTGGAGATGGCACTGCGAGGGTTAATCAGCCTCAGCTGGGCTGCTGGGACCCCCTGCCCGGCCTCTGCCCAGGCTGGGTTAGCCCCAGGGAGGAGGCAGAGGGTCGTTGGCTCCTGCGTCTCCGCTCACATGCAGAGAGCAGGGCAGGGCTCCCAGAGGTGGGGGAGGCAGATGTTGCCATGCTCGGGACTGGAGCCGTGGCTGGAGGGTTCTACTAAGGGCAGGCAGGTTCCAGGCACCCACCAGCTGGGAGCTGAGGCAGGGGCAGGTCAGCGGGCAAAGGGCACAAACCAGGGAGCCGGTGCCAGCCCTGGGCACTCAGCAGCTGAAGGGCTACGGTGTGTCTGCTGCATGGGCTACGGCTCAGGTCTCGCTGGCCGCAGAGGGGCCAGCCAGCTCCAGGCACTGGGCCTGGAAGTGCTGCTGGCCCCGGCGATCTCTGGGTGCTTTGCGGAGCAGGTTCGGGAACAGTGGGGGTGGCCGTTCTCGGGCTGTGCAGAAGCCAGCTGACACCCGGGCGTCGCTAATGCCACAGTGCAGAGACGGACCCGTCTCCGCCACGCAGAGATGGGAGGAGAGCACGCGCGCGGGTAGGCGTGTGCCAAGCCATCCCTTGCTTCGAAACTCACGTAACAGCAACAAAACCGGGCGTCTGGGTGGGCAGCAGCAATAGCCCAGAGGAGTTGGTTACGGTTGTGGCCCCTGTTCCAAACGCTGGCTGCAGCCGGCTGAGGGGCTTCAGTGGCTGAAAACACAGAGCTGGGGCGATGCTCAGCAGAGAAGGGGGCCGAGATGCAGGGGAAGGGGTGGGTATCAGGTGCCCCCCAGGCCGATACAGCTCTCCAGCCTGCATGTGTAGGAGTTAAACCGCACCAGGCCTCGTCTACAAATGCAGGTTGTGCTGCTTCAACTGTCCGGGCAGCATGGAAAAGGTACAAGCCCCGAGCGTGTGTAACCCACACACCTCCTGGGTGTGGTGTTCTGTCCCATTGGGTGGCACCGAGACCACTGAGAGAGCAATTAATGAGTCTGCTCTATCGCCTTAGCTAACAGCCAGGTGGCTTTTAGCTCATGCAATAGAGGCTCATGCACTAAGCTCCAGAGATCCCCGGTTCGATCCTGTCCGCTGAGGACCGGGGTCTGTCGGCGTTACCCGTGGACGCAGCTACCTTGGGATAAATGTGCTTAGAGGAGTGTGGTTAGTCCTGTCCCGGCAGCGGAATAAAGCTCTGTTACCCTGCGTCCACGCCAGGGGGTGACCCGGTGTAACTGTCGGTACCTGGCCCCCCTGCAAACATGGGGCGCAGCCCAGCCCTAGTATCTGTCCCACAAGGAGCTGCCCCTCACACCAGCGTACCCTTTTGGGTAGTGCTACCCGCCAGCCTTGCCTGGTGCCAGTCCAAGCCCAGGCTTCCCCTGGGCTGAGGGCTCTTGCCAGCCACTCAGATCCCCTGCCCCGAGAGGTCAGGCAGGGTGGGTGGGGCTTCCCCCCCCCCATGTGGGGGGTGCAGGAGCACGGCTCCCAGGCTCCCTCACTTTCATCCCTTTCTTTCCAGACACAACGACCTCCCCTGGCAGCTGCTGAAAAAGTTTAACAACAGGCTAAGCGTGGCACCGGCAAACCTCACCCTGCTGAACGACACCCACACCAACATCCCCAAGCTGCAGAGTGGGCACGTGGGGGGGCAGGTAGGCTGCAGATCCCGCAGGCACGGCCCACACAGCCACGCTCGCAGCAAGGCCCCGGCACACACACATTCAGCCCCCCACAGGCACCGACCGGGGGTACACTGACGCCAGCAGCATGCTGCGGCATGGACTAGGCAGGGCTTTCCAATGCAATCCAGCCGAGGGGCCTCTGTGACTCAGCCCGTCCCTGGAAAGCCCCAGTGGCAGGGGAGCCGGCCCTCGCTTTCGGCTGAGCGATCGCTGGAGTTTTCCTGGGGCCAGAGGAAGCCAGCCCCTGTCACCCACCTACTGCCTGCACTTCCCCAGCACGGCCGCTTTCACTTCCACCGTGCTCAGGCTCAGGCTTCCTGATGCCCGGGGCTCCAGCTCAGCCCCCAGGGGGGTGAAATCCTGCCCTGTGGCCGTCAGCAGCCGCCTGACCTCTCTGGGTCTGTGCCCACCTGGGGTGAGAAGCCTGTAGCAGCAGCTGGTTGCTTGTGCATGTCACCCCCCGCCCCCAGGCCCAGGTACCGAGTGAGCCCCACAGCTGGCTTGAGATGGGTGTGGGCTGAAGGGGGCAATGAATGAAGCAAAGCAGCCGCTTCAACAGCTGAAGGCTGCCTTGCCCCACACGGAGGGCCGGGCTCCTTAACTTGTCTCCCCCTTGTCTCCCCGCTCAGTTCTGGGCGGCTTACGTGCCCTGCGATACCCAGAACAAAGACGCAGTGAAGCGAACGCTGGAGCAGATCGACGTCATTCACCGCATGTGCGAGAAGTACCCCGAGGCCTTTGCATGTGTCACCAGCAGCACAGGTGAGCGATGGTGCGCGGCCCCTGCCCGGCTCCTTGGGGGGCTGGGGGCTGCAGGAGCTGAGCACGGACAGCCAAGGCTGCGTCCCAGCCGGGATTGAGCTGAGTGAGGGGGACCTCCCTGCCCAGCAGCCGCTGCCATTCTGCACCCAGCACCCTGCCAGGGCATGGTCCTTGCCAGCCCCTTGTATAGGGGAGTGTAGGGGGTTCGGCCAGGGCTCATCCCCCCTCCGGGGCGGCGCGGAACCAGACGGCCTCGCTACTTCGGTCAGGTGCATTGGGGAACTAGCCTGGCTGTGTGGCAAACCGTCAGTAGCTCAGACCCTCAGGCAGGGCTGAGCAAACGGTTGAACAGCAAACCCCAGGCTCCTGGCTCCGAGTGGCCTGGGAGAGAGGAGATGGCCACCCGCAAGGTGGGTGGCAGGGGGGACGCAGGCCCTCCCACTCCACTGCATCCCAGCCCAGGGCCCTAGCAGCGATAGAAGACCCACTGCATAGTCAGTGGGGATCCTGGCCACAACACACTGACATGGGCTCTGGCAGTGCTGCTGCCAGACTCGGGTCAGCTGCCCCCGGGCTACTTCCTAACTTCCCCTCTAGAGGTACCTGGGTCTGGACAGCGTCCTCCACGGGGTCACACACCATCGGCTCCTTGGGGTAACTGGCAAGTGGCAGGCTTGGCAGCGTCTCTGGGCTCGGGCTAGCATCAGGCATGGGCTGGTCTGGCCAGTCCTCGGTTCGGCCGCCGATTGCCGTGGTCTCCCAACTGGGAGCTACGCGAGAGGCGTCTGGCCTCTCCGGTGGCTGTGTTCCAAGTGAGCTCTGGGGTCGGGCTTTTATACTTCTGTGACAAAGTGGGAATGTTCATAATGTTTTCTCTGAATACTGTGTGGGTGCCTCAGTTTCCCCTATGCAGTTCTTAAGTATCTAGGTGGTGGGAGAAGGGGGTGTGATTGTTTCAGAGCCCTAGAGGGCAGATGTGATGCTGGCTGAACAGAAAATGGCCGACACCCTGTCTCCTGGCAACTAATGACCTGGGCCCCTCCTCTACAAAGATGCCTGCTGAAGGTGTTGGAGAACAAAGAGATCAGGTGACCTCCTGGCCCGGGAAAGGAACAAAGGCCAGAGAGGAGGGGCTGGAGGGGGTTTCAGTTGGGAGCTGGCTGGGGACGGGAAGTGTGGGCAGACGTGGATGTCTGCCTCACTGGGCCCCAGAATGGACCCGGCCGAGGGGTCCCGTTCGCTGGACCTACAAGCTCTGTTTTAGACCGTGTTCCTGTCATCTAATAAACCTGTGTTTTACTGGCTGGCTGAGAGTCACGTCTGACTGCGGAGTGGGGGTGCAGGACCCTCTGGCTTCCCCGGGACCCCGCCTGGGCGGACTCGCTGTGGGAAGCGCACGGAGAGGCATATGCTGAATGCTCCGAGGGCAGACCCAGGAGGTGAAGCCGTGTGAGCGTCTTGCCCTGAAGACAGACTGCTCCATGGGAGAGGAGGCTCCCCAAAGTCCTGACTGGCTTTGTGGGGAGCAGGTCCAGAGCATCGCCCGGGGACTCCGGGACAACTTCCTGTCCTGCGCCTTGACCGCTGAGGGGTGGGCGCAGGGTTCGCTGGCTCCGCCCACTTTGGTGTCCAGAGAGGCTCGTCCCTCTCCGGGGCGGCGGGGAACCAGACCGCCTCGCTCCAGGGAGGTAGTTCCCTGGTACCTGCCATGTGTGCGTCTGGGGGGCGTCTCTCCCTGTGCAAAGCCCGCGGAGGTGTCCAGCAGTCGGTAGCAGGGAGCTGTGCTTGTCAGGAGCCAGCCCCTCCGAGGTCTCCTACAAGGGTAGCCAGGGCCTGCCAGGCAGAAGGGGAGCTCAGCAGGCCTGGGGCAACCCCCGCCGTGGGCGACCTGGCCCCCATTAGCCGGCATGGCTGGCTGGGATTCCCCCGCCCGACTCAAGCCTGGGAAATGCTGCTCTTGCAGGCATAGAAGACGCCTTCCTAGCAAAGAAGGTTGCCAGCTTGATTGGCGTGGAGGGCGGCCACTCCCTGGACAGCAGCCTGGGCGCCCTGCGGATGTTCTACCGGCTGGGGGTGCGCTACATGACCCTCACCCACAGCTGCAACACCCCCTGGTAAGGCCCCGGTGCTGGGGCACAGGGCAGCTTGCTGGGCCCAGTGGGGTCCGGAGGCAGGGGGCAGAAGAACGGGGCCTGGTTGGTTTGGAACGACGTACAGGGCCCCAGGGTCCCAGTGCAGGTCCCGGTGCCCAGAGAGGGCCGCGAACGGTGCCAATGCCTCTTCCTGCCCCTGTGCTGGCACTCGGGGGTGGGCAGCAGCCTAGGGCCAATAAGTAGCTCAGGCCGCGTGGGCTGACCAGGAGCTCGCCTGATGTGTGCGCTCTGGCTCGCAGGGTGGACAACTGGCTGGTGGACACGGACCAGGAGCAGCCCGTCCACAACGGCCTGTCGCAATTCGGGAAGGTGAGTGGGAACGGCCCCTGCGTGTCCACTGCCTGGGGGGCTGGAGGCCGACCTCCCCACGCCCACACGTGGGGCAGGGAGCTCTCAGCTGGAGGCCCTCATGGGGATGGGGAGGGGACAGAGCCCCCCCCACTTCTCCAGCCAGGGACCAGCCGTTCTGGAAGGGGCGCTGCTGGCACATCAGGGCCGCAGGCCAGGCTGTCTTCTCCCCTCACCGGGGCTGCTCGTCCCAGAGCACGGCCCGCCAGGCGTGCTGCTACAGAGGCTGAACTAGCCCAGCTCCCACCGCGGCAGCTGCCAATCCCTGGCCACATTCCCAAAGCCACTGCGGTGTTTTCCAAGCCAGCTGCAGCCTGGCAGTGCAAACTCCTGACCCCGCTGCCCGGCCTCTCTGGGACACCTGGTGCCCCATTCTCATCCCCCTGCCCCAGGACCCCGGTCAGCCAACGCTCAGCTCCAGCCCCTGTGATTTGCCAAGGGCAGAGAAACCCGGCTGCTGCTCACCTCCAGTGCCCGACGGTTTCCGTGCCACTGCCCAGCTCTCTGCTGGCACTGGGGGTGAAGTTCAGATCCTGTGGGCTGACTCCCCGCATGTTACCCCAGGGACCCCGGAGCCCTGCCGTCTGCCCCACTGCACCGTCCCATTCCCAAACGGCCGTACGGCTGCTGCCCATGGAGCCCCCAGCCCTGCTCACCCCCATTTACCCACATGCAGGGCACAGCCAGCCAGGGCAGCTCACACACATAGGGGCCAGAGGAAAGCGTGAGCTGGTGGAAGTTGACACGTGGATGGGCGCTCCTGTCCCTGACCTGTCTTACCCCCGGCCCCTGAGTGGGCAGGTCCCCTGGCTCAGACCCCGCGCCCAGGGGGAGGGGGCGAGGTCCCATTCACTCGGGCAGGTGGGGCGAGGCTAAGTGGGGTGAAGAGGGGTGCCCAGGAGAACATGCAGGTCCCACCGCTCAGACTCTGCAGGGCCCTGGGGCCAGCTTGTTCCTGACGTGGCCTGCGGCTAGCAGGAGGGACGCGCACGCTCAGTACCTGTCTCTCATCCGCTCCCCTAGCGCGTGGTCTGGGAAATGAACCGCCTGGGCATGCTGGTCGACCTGGCCCACGTGTCTGTGCAGACGATGGAGGACGCCCTGGAGGTTTCCAAAGCTCCTGTTATATTCAGCCACTCGTCAGCCTACGAGCTCTGCAGAAACAGGCGCAACGTGCCCGACGACATCCTCCGCAGGGTGGTAAGATGGCCTGGACACGCAGAGCGATGAGCGTTTCCTCCAGCCCACGAGACCTGGGCAGACAGCGCCGACTCAGGCAGAGAGGGACCAGCTCTTGGGCAGGAGCAGCTCCTGCAGAGACACAAAACCCGCACGAGCCTCCGGTGCTCTCCCCCGAGCAGGGGTCAGGAAGGATGTGGTATAGCAGGCCCCGCTAGGAGCCCGGGCGCGAGGGACTGGGGATGGGATCCCAGGCGCTAGGGGCCAGGCGCAAGGGGCCAGGGGTGGGAACCCGGGCGCAAGGGGGCAGGATCCCGGGCACGAGGGGCCAGTGGTAACATCACGCTGGGAGCGAGTACCTAAGTGTCTGAGCTGGAGGCGCTGACGGTGCCTCGCGCTGCCTGCTGGCTGGATCACTGCAGGGAAGGGTCCAGGGCTCTGAATGGGAGGCAGCATCCTGGGGACCACAGCGAGCAGCACCACCGCCGGCGCCCCAGGTCACGAGCAAACGGTCCCTCCTGCGCCGGGGCAGGCGTGGGATCCCTGTCCCGGCAGTAGCTGAGACACTGGGCTGCCCGGCCCAGAGCCCTCGCCTGCTGCAGCCTTTAGGAACCCGCGTGCACAGGCGGCGGGTACCATGGGCCAGGCCAGGCTAAGGCTCCCCTAACCCAGGCCGGGGCCCTGCCCCCGCTCCCCTTCTCCCTAGGCCGGTCCGGGGGTCGAGGCAGCTGCTCGGGCTGGCCGGCAGCCCAGTGCTCAGGGGTCAGGCCGGCCCATGCAGCCAGGGGTGGGCCAGTGGGCGGCTTGGGGTAGGTGGGCAGGGGCTCCTCCAGTCCTGGGGGGTCTCAGGGCTCCAGCAGGTAGGGGGCAGGGCCGGCTGTCTAGCCTCCCCAAAACGGAGGTTCACCCGCTGCCCATGTCCGCATGTCTCTGCCTGCAGAACCAGAAGGGCGGACTGGTGATGGTGAACTTCTACAACATGTACGTGTCCTGCAACGAGGCGGCTGCCAACCTGTCCCAGGTCGCAGGTGAGTCTGGCGCCAGCCCTGAGGGACGTGGGGGGGTCCCGCACACTGGGCCTTGCCCCTCACCTCTGGCACTTCCCCCCGCAGATCACCTGGATCACATCAAGAAGGTGGCTGGCTCCGCGGCGGTTGGCTTTGGTGGGGACTACGATGGCGTGTCCACGTAAGGACTGGCCCTTGGGGGAGAGCTTCCTAACCCCACAGAACAGCCAGCCCCCCGCAGCGCTGGCAGGGCTGTCTGTGAGGCACGCCCAGCCATGCAGGCTGGGGCCCAGGGCACCCCAGAGCAGGCTGACCTGGGGCGTGCCCTCCTGCAGGACCCTTCCCTGAGCTTGCCCCAGAGCCTCAGCGTCTCACTCCACCCATCGCCCCGCTGGTCTCCAGGGAGACGCTGGCGAGGCCTCCAGGGAGACGCTGGCGAGGCCTCCAGGGGCTGCGGGCTGCTTTGCTGCCCAGAAGCTGGTTGCTGAGCCTTGGAGAGGAACGTTTCCCCCCTCACCAGGCCCCTGTCAGGGCCCCCCCAGCTCTGGAACCAGGCATGGGGCAGCTCCTGGTACCAAGGCTCTACAGGAGACAACAGGCTGCAGCTCCCGCCCTGCCCTCCCCCCGGCCACCTCAGCCCCTCAGCTCACGGGCCCTGCGCAAAGCGAGTCGCGTCTCCCTCGGGGGGCAGCGCGCACAGACGAGAGGCCCTGTGTGAGCCTGCTCCCAAGGACACTTGTCTGGGCAGCACTTCCTGGATGCCACAGCACCCTGGGCTGGGGTGCCTGCTTTGCAGGCCTTGCCACCTCCTCCAGCTGTGGGGCCCATCTGCTTGGGAGCTGGGGGGAGGCAAGCTGGGGGAGGGGGCTCCCCAAGGCAGAACCCGTTAGTAAGGGTCCCACGCCTGGGTCTAGCAATAAGGCACATTACCAGTGAGGGGTTCCAGGGGGCACACACTCCATAGCTCCTGTGGGCTGAGCTCACGGTACATCCCAGGGGCTCCTGGC